AACTGCCATCTAAAAGAAGTTATTGAAGGAAAGATAGAGGGGCGGATAGAAGTGACAAGAAGACGAGGAAGAAGACGTAAGAAGATGCTGTATGACCTTGGGGACAGAAGAAGATACTGTCATTTGAAGGAGAAAGCTCTAGATCGCATTAAGTGGAGGAATTGTTTTGGAATAGACTGTTGACCTGTCGTCTTGACAGATTACTGATAATGATGATGCTCGCACACAGCGGCATCTAACTCGGGCAGAATGGCCCATATTTACTGGCGCAACAATTTGCCTTGGTTGCATGAAAACATAACTACTACTTTATAGCAGGGCCACAGGCTGTGTCTAAACCAAATACACAATATAAATTATAAACACAGGTTTAACTAAACTAGTACGAGTCGCCGCCGTACTACAAACCCAACGACGGGCGACCTCGCCGGCCGCGAACCAGCCCACTACTTTCCGAAACCAATTTTGGACTCCCAGCCGAACAGGAATTTGACAATCACGCCGGCTGGCTCGGCGCCGCAAGCAAGGCCCTATGGATCCATAACCAGAACTGTCCTCCGAACTCAAATTAACTTCCAAACAACGCTCCCAGGTGTAGAAAGGAGGGGAAGGGGCAACACCACGTGACCCAGTCCCTCATGGGGAGGGGGTGGGGCATAAGTTTAAGAACCTCAATCATGGGCTGGAAGTCCATGACGTCATACCGGAGCCAGTGCATGGCTCAATACAAATACGTGGAATACTACAAATTCCCATAATATTTAGCCTACTTATCTTATTTAAAAATAATAGGAGGTTTACTATGATATAAATTGTCACCGTGCGTCCCACCGCCCCTCCTTAATATTCGGATTAATGCAGGCAGAATTGACGGCCGTTTCTAGGCAACGTCCCGTTAAACACGTGTCTGAAGCAATTAATACACAAGCAACAGTAGAAGCTTTAGTTGAACGCTGCATTTGCTGTGCGGTTCTTGTCAAATCAAATATTCAATATGCAGTGAAAGGAAAGTAGGGGATTAGTTCTTCCCAGAACTTCGTATTTCTTAATCCTATTAATCTTAATGTATCATGTTTGTAGGCATATACTGTTTAACATGCTTTCTTGTCGTAAAATATTGTGCTATTTTTTTTGTGTGTAAATAGCTTAATTTTTAGTTTTAATAATGGGGAGGTTCATGACTTTTACTCTTCGTAAAGTATAATTATGATAATCAAGTCAAGAAGGATGAGATTGGCAGAGTATGTAGTATGAATTGGGAACATTAATGCACATAGGATGTTGATGGGAAAGCCGGAAGGAAGGAGACCACTAGGAAGAACAAGACGTAGGTGGGTGAGCAATATTAAAATGGATCTTCGAGAGATAGGATGGGAGAGTATGGATTGGATTGATGTGGCTGTGGATAGGGACCAGTGGAGGGCTCTTGTGAACACGATAAGGAACCTTCGGATTACATAAAATGCTGGGAAGTTCTTGAGTAGGGGCACAATTGCTGGCTTCTCAAGAAGGGCTCAGCCACATGAGTGAGTGATGAGCAGGGCCCGGATTTTGATGACATGTCATCTTTTTTCCTTGTATCCTATGCGATGCTCTTAAATGTATAAATCTCTGATATGAGCTGCTGGTTACAGAAATGTAAACTTTATAGGTTTTTTTTGTCATTTTTTTACTTTTTTAGGTTTAAGGTAATTTTTTCATTTTGGGGGTAATTTTTAGGTAAATTTTTGGACTTTTAAGGGTATTTCTTGTCATTTTTGGCCATTTTAGGGAACTTTTCTTCATATGTTTTCTAAAATGTGAATAACATGGAAGAGAAGTGTTCTTTCTTTTCTCTTTTAGGTCATTTTTATGGATTTTTCGGTTATTTTTTTAATATTTTCAGGTCATCAAAATCCGGGCGCTGGTGATGAGAGATGTTCAAAAATGATTTTATATGACATTTTCTTTGAAAGCATACTTGTACTTACTGTAATTAAGACCGAAGCCATTTCCTCCCGCGTGTCCAGGTCACCAGAATATCTGCCCTCTCTCGACAGCTTAATCAACATATCCAGAATTGGAATGCGAGGTCTTGAACCTGAAAATATTTATTGTGTGTGAAATAACTTGGAAGCGGCATTTATAGCAGTGGGCGTGCAAATGGAGTTGCACAGCATCCTGTGTTTTGTGTGTGGTTTGTGAAAGGCTGACCCCGCTGAGGAGGTGATGCGAAGGGGGTGAAGGAACGGGCTGACTGGACCTGCCATTCTGTAGGATTACTTGAAATACCGTAATTATAATTCATATCTCGTGATGATATTTTCGCCTTGATTTTAAACAGACTGAATGCTATTCTGTCCAAAAATGGTCAGGGTGTTTTCAGTTAGGAGAGTGTCCGGATGAAAGGTATCCAAAACAAAGTAATTATATCTCAGAAAGCATACGCTCGTATATTGTACACATTTATGGATTACACCATTACAAAGGGAGACTATGAAAGATTTTTTTTTTTTGCGTATATAAATTTCACAATAAATTTTAATGTGAGCCCCCTTGGAGGCACGGCAAATATCCAGACGATATTCCACCTCTTTCTACCTTGCTTGAAGCATGTTTGATGCTACCGCAGCGAGAGCGTCCCCTTTCAGGTGTTGAAGATCTTTGAGCTTAACCTGGTAGACACTGTTCTTCACATAACCCCACAAGAAAAATCCAATGGAGTTAAATCTGATGACCTAGGAGGCCAAGTGATTGGTCCACCTCTGCCGATCGATCTCCCAGCCATCTCTCTGTCCAGGTTATTCTTAACATGGTGGCAGAAATGTGGCTGCGCATGCGCGTAAGCATGACATAAACCTGATACGTATATGACAATTAGTTTCAGAGATATAATTTTTTTTTTTTTTAATTTTAGTTTCCTTTCATCCTGACACCCGTATAGCTATGGCTCTACAGCCCTTGTGGGCCTTGGCCGCGTTTCAGTTTCTTAAGCTATACACAGTCGGTATGACTTCTTGGACGGGGGATCAGGCCTTAACAAGGCTGCTACTTATACACAGAATAAAAGCAAACAGATATCCATACTTCGAGTAGGATTCGAACCCACGATTGCAGTACATGTCTTAAATTGCGCTGCCACTGTGATCGGCGCAAGAGGAAAATAGGATATAATTTGATTTCTAGAAGAACAGACTAAACTTCATCTACTCTACGGACCCTCGTTGCGACATGCCTTGTGTAGGCAACATTACATAACAGAAGTCCTATGTACATATATTGAAATTCTCACCGCTATATGCCTACTGGAAGTGTGTTCTTAGTAGCAAGAAGTCACTGTCTAATGATGTCTTAACGGTCTACGTCACCAACTGACGATGATGCACTCTCGACCCCATGTCAGATGTTGTATAGTAAATACACTTGTGTGCTAGTAAGAGAGTAGTAAGAACCATTATGTGCCGGTCACGGTAGCCGAGCGGTCTAGGGCATGAACTGTCTTCGCTCGCTCGGAAGCCGGGATCGTGGTTTCGCATCCCACACAAGGCATGGATGTATGCTTGGTGTGTGTATGCTTTTATTCTGTGATTTTGTTGTCCTGTGTTTAGGTAGAGGCCTTGCGACGAGCTGATCACCCGTCCAAGGAGTCCTACTGTCTGTAAAGTGATCATGAAACTTAGAAATCACCAACATGCTCCAAAGTGGGCGCAAGAGGAGAGACAAAAAGGAAGCATTATGTAACAAGTAATTAGTCGTAGTTAAGAACTTCATACATGTTTCGGCCATATAGGGCCATCGCCAGAGGCTTACTTATTAATGCGAGAATGCTTAATATACTGTAACGTGTAGGGGGTTGTGCGTAACTTATAGACGG